AGCCGATCGCGTGACATCCGGCCGAATATTATCGCGCGCAGCGTCGGTTAATGGAAGCAGTGGGAAGCGGGGAGAACGAAAGCGGGTGCGAATATTGAAGCAACGTCGGAAGCGCGGGGCCAGGAGGCGACGGGGGCCCGTGGAAGCGAGGCGGAAGCTAACGAGTGCTTGCGGGCCCCCGAGCTTCAGGGGCCACGGTCGAGCAGGACTGCTCGTTCCCCGAGCCGCAGGTGCTGCGCTGGCGCCGGCGCGAGGCACCTCGACGCGCCGAGCTCGCCAAGGAGTGCGCGATCATGAACTGCGAGCAGCCGAGAATGGCGACGCCGTTGGCTGGGCGCGGCGCGCGCGCTGCTCGACGTGATCGACGGGCGCGCGGGCGCCCCCGAGACCATCGTGGCGGTCGCGCCCGCGGGCGAGTCTCGAGACGCCCTCGTGCGGCCGCCCGAGAACGCCGAGCATGCCGCCGCGAGGGTCCCCCGGCAGCTCGACGCTATCGGCCAGGGCGAGGGGCGCCCTGGGAGCAGCCGCGAGATGTTCCATGCGGATGACTGCCCGAAGGTCAAGGGCGAGAGCACGGGCGAGGCCCTGCCGCCGGATGGCCCGACCGCGCTAGAGCCTAATCGCGAGACCTTCGAGGGCGCTCGCGCCGCCGCGCAGGATCGCGCAAATTGCTTGCCCTGCAAGGGGGGTGCAAAGTAGGAGGAGTCGGCTTGCAGGGGGGGGCGGGCGCGGGGGGGGCGTCAACGACCGCGCCGATTCCATCGCGGCCCGCTGCCCCTTCCCGGGGCCCTCAGGAATATTTGGGCCCAGTCGGCCTCGCAGTCGGCGCCGGCGTCGCGTCGCCCGCGAGCGCCGAACGGCGGGCGGGCCGACCTTGTTGCGCATGTTTGGCGCGAGAGGCCCGCGCGGGCCTCGCGCTGTGCCCGCGCCCCAGGGCGACGGCCCAGGCCCTTGTAGCACCCCCGCGCTGACGCGATGGCTTCGCGCGCGGCGCGGGGGCGGGCGCCGCCGACCGTTCGGTTCTGTTCCGCGCACTTCTCATGCGAGAACGCAAAGCCCCCCATGCTGCTCGCGCGCTTTGCGCGCTGAGCAATGCGATGCAGTTGCGACGGCCGCGCGTTCAATTGGAAACCGCAACGCAAGTGTCCATTCCCGCGCGCGGGGCGGGGCATGAACTTACAGATGCGCCGACGGTCGAGAACTCGCGCGCGCGCCCGCGCCTGCCATGTTGGGCGTGCGCGCTGGGCCCGGAAATCTGCGGCCTGGCCGCCCGATGCGCCCCGAAAATCGCCCCGCTCCCCCCCGTCAAATCTCTTCCGCGCTCTTTGGGAAACCACGCCGCCGAGGCGGGGGCTCGGGCCGCGGCCTGATGGCCCCCGGGGCACAGGGGAATCAAAGGAATCAGTGCGGAATCAGCGCAGAATAAAAACATAATCGGCACAACTGCGACCCCTGGTTCGAGCGGAATCAAACGAATCAGCACGCAATCAATGCGGAATCACAGGAGGAATCGGCGATGGAACCAGAATCGGCCAGGGCGGGGAAGTAGGCCAGAATCGGTGCCATAACGCATGGAGGGAGGCCTTTTTCCCGCGAGTTCATTGCGACGGGTCCTCGGCGCCGGCGCGCCGCGCGACTTCGCTGGTTCAGCGAGGCGCGCAGTCGGCGTTCAGAGTGAACAGGTTGTTTTCAGGGCGATATCCTGGCGGCGCGCTGGCGCATTGCAAATTTGCGTATTCCTGGCGAGCTGTTTGAGGGCGACCCGGCAGCGTCGGCCGAATGGCCCGCAAATACCGCGCGGCCGATCGCGCGCCCCACGCGGTCACCTCGACCGCCGTGCGCCGCGACGGCCGCGCGCCCCGGGCCGCGCCATTGCCGCGTTGGATTGGGCGGCGCAGCGCCCGTCCTCCAAAAGTCGTCACGTGCATATCGCGCGCGTCGAGCCTTCAGCAACCGCTCCCAGAAGCAGCCTTGACAGGCGCCCCATGCCCGTTGTCGCCCGGTTCCGATCCAAATCGTAGTTTCTTAGGATGCGCTTGCGCGAATGTGAGCGCGCGGGCAAGTAACGCGCGCGCTTGGCGCAGCCTGGGAAATCCAACGTGGAGCCCCCTGGGGGCGCGGGGCGCCGGCGACGCCTCCGCCCGCCTCCCGCGCGCCCGACCCCCCCCGCAAGCCGACTCCTCGTAGTCCAAAGGGGTGCCGAGCTTGCGTGAGCGATCCGTTCGAGGTGGTTCGCGAGAGAGGTTTCATGGCGGGGTGCGCCGAGGACCTCTAGAGCGCAGGCGAGCTTGAGGCGCGAGATGTCCGGGGGAACCAAGGACCATCAGAGCGAGGATCGGCGGGGGAGCCCAGGGCCATCCATCATCAGCGCCAGCATCATCGTCGTCATATCCTATCACATTCACACAAACAAACATAACACATGCGCGCGCACATACATACGCACGGATAGACATACATGCATGCATGCGTACATACACGCATACAGAGACATATCGACACATAGACAAATCGAGAAACTGACATTCCGACAAACGCACAGTCATATTTGCACGTAGATATGGTTGACACACACATATAGGTATACATCCATATATGTGCACGGATGTCTTTGCGCATGTGTATATATGTGCTTTTACTTACAGGTGTGTGTATATGTTTATGTATGTGTGTCTTGATACGTGCGATATGTACATGTTTATATGGATGTGTATGTAGATGCATTTGTATGCTATAATGCATGCGTGCATGCATATGTGTGTAAATGCATATGTTCATGCATATGCGTGTATGCATGCACATGATTATGGCCATGCAGTTATTTATGTATGTAGATTGCACGTAACCGTGTAATTATATGTAGGTGTATACGCATATGTAAAAATGCAAGTTTCTTATTGTACAGGTATGTATGCATGTAAGTATGTATGTGTGGATCAAGTGCACATCGTACACTAACCTATGACCATTGAATGTTATAACATATCATCAATATATGCATCAATGCATCCACGCACACATATATATACACGATTATATCCATATACCTATACACATATATGTATATATGATTGCACACAGACATATACATATACATATACACATACATTTACATATACACATACACACATTTACACATACATACATATACACATATAGAAGCACACATCAAATACATACACATAGTAAAGTTTGTATGCGCACATTCTTATCATATCATGCCCATACACATACACATGTATGTGTATATATATACATATGCATACATATAGGTATGTATATATTATCTCGGAGGTTGGGGGGTGAGATCGAAGTGGGACGGAGAGCCCCCCACCGGGAAATCGGTTTCGGTTTCGTGTTCGTGTCGTGCGTGCGGGCGAAGCGAAGCTGCGTGCGCGGGCGAGATGGATTCATTCTGCTGTCGCTAGTGGTTCGCATGTTTCCCCCGCCGGCGCGTGTCAGGCGGTGGCCCGCATTGTCCCGTCGGTTGCCCGCCATTGTCCTGTCTGTCGCTAGTGGTTCGCCAACATAATGTTTCCCCCGCCGGCGCGTGTCAAGCGGTGGCCCGCATTGTCCCGTCGGTTGCCCGCCGTTGTCCTGTCTGTCGCTAGTGGCTCGCCAAATAAATGTTTCCCCCGCCGGCACGTGTCAAGCGGTGGCCCGCATTGTCCCGTCGGTTGCCCGCCGTTGTCCTGTCTGTCGCTAGGGGTTCGCCAAATAATTGTTTCCCCCGCCGGCGCGTGTCAAGTGGTATCCCGCATTGTCCCGTCGGTCGCCCGCCGTTGTCCTGTTTGTCGCTAGGGGTTCGCCAATTTAAATTGTCCCCCGCCGGCGCGTGTCAAGCGGTAGCCCGCATTGTCCCGTCGGTCGCCCGCCGTTGTGCTGTCGTGAGATCGATAGTGAGGTCGATAGTGAGATCGATCGATCGACAGATGGCGTCATGAGCCCCCCCCCTCCCACCCCCCCACCACGACCTCCTTATCACCCGCATGGTGGTCGTATATGTTTAGGTATAGGTATAGGTATGGGTGTAAATATATGTGTGTGTACGACACATGTGCCCACAAACGAATAATTGAAGCGATGTATCGTGACGGCTTGGTTACCGCTTGCTGTTTGTTGTGTGGTTGCGGGCTTGTTGGTGGCGTTAGAAACGGCGACGAACAACATATTACGGCCAGGTATCATGAGCTTTCCTAGCCAGCATTCAGGGGCGAGCGAATGTTGACAGTGCACGGGGTTTGGGGCAGGAAGGCGCAGGAGGAAGGGCGACGGTGAGGCGGAAACGCAGGGGGAGAGGTGAGGACAGAAGGGGAAACGGAGGACAGACGGGCAGGTGGGCTGACGGGCAGAGAGAGGGCGGGAGGTGAATGGACGGGGGCAGAGAGGAGAGGGTAACCGAGGAAGAAACGAGACGGGGAGCGAAAACGGGAGAAAAAGGTGGAAGGGAGAATGGAAAAGGGATGGCAGCAAATGGCAGATCATGAGAGGATGGGAGTAGACGGCGTGGGAGGAAAGGTCATGGGCATAGGCTGTGAGGCGCCCCGTAAGGCTATTTTCTTCCTTTCTCCTTCCTGTCCTCCCCTCCTCCTCTTCTCGCTGGCCCTCTTCTTTCCGCTCTCCCCCCCGTCTCCTCATGGCCACCACCAACGACGACGAGGCTGACGACTAGACGATGACGAGGACGACCACCACTACCACGGCCACCACCACCACGGCGGCATCGTGAAAGTCGCCGTCGCCATCGCCGTTGCCGTCGGGGTGTATTCTGATTGATCACAGCGAATCCCCCAACCCTGTTCACATATCTTCTTGTCGGCAAGAATCACGGACCACTGGCCCAGTGAGCATCATTGAAAGGCCCACATTATGCTTGATTCGCGGTCGCTGTCGCCGACTCTGTCGCCGTCGTCGTCAGCGTCGGCCACGGCGGCGTCGGCGACGGCGAGCGGCGGCGACGCGGCCACGTCGCTCGCCTGGCAGAGCCGGCCATCGGCCAGGCGAGTGCAAGACGGAGGTCGATGGCTTGCAGTCCCGGCTACAGGATTTCCGCCACCCCCCCCGTTTCGGGATGGTCGGGTCGGACGAGGATCCGCGGACGATATGCGTGTACCGAACCGCGTTGGCGCCTCTCGAGGCGTCGCCGATCCTCAATTCGGGAACGGTGCGGTGTATAGCTTTGCGGGCCTCAGGGCTGAGCAAATGTGCACCGTACCGCGCTGGAGCGGGGCCTGAAGGGAGTCCAGACATGGTACGGTGCAGGGCCGGCGTTCTCATAGAAGAGGGGGGGTAAATGGGAAAGGGTGGGTCACGAGAGCTGCTGCATGTAGCTGGTTTCAGCCTCGCCGATGGGCGCCATGCTCGCCACCGCACGGACGTCCATTTCCCGTGCATAGTTCGGTTCTGTGCGTGTTCTTCCCCAACCATGATGTGGTGTTGGGTACTCGTCTTGGAAAAAGCAGCGCCCCGCGCCATCTCATCCTCCTCCTCCTCCTCCTCCGAAGGCCCCAGTGGTGGTGTTCGCGTGCGTCTCGTCCGCTCAGTACAGCGGTCCGTGGCCCCGTGGGGAGCTCCACCGAAGGCCTCAGTGGCGGTACCCGCATCCGCTTCCCCCGCCCAGTACAGCGTTGCTTTGCCCCATAGGGAGCTCCACCGAAGGCCCCAGTGGTGGTGTCCGCAAGCAGTTCCCCCGCTCAGTACAGCATTTCGGGGTCGCAGAGGGAGCTCCACCGAAGGCCTCAGTGGCGGTGCCCGCATGCGGATCCCCCGCCCAGTAGAGCTCTTCGTGGCCCCATAGGAGCTTCCACCGAAGGCATCAGTGGCGGTGCCCGCATGCGAGTCCCCCATCAAGTACAGCGTTCGTGGCCCCATTCGGAGCTCCACCGAAGGCCTCAGTGGCGGTGTCCGCATGCGGTTCCCCCGGCCAGTGCAGCGTTTCGTGGCCCCATAGGGAGATCCACCGACGGCCTCAGTGGTGGTGTCCGCATTCGGTTCCGTGGCCCCATAGGGAGCTCCACCGGAGGCATCGGCGGCGGTGCCCGCATGCGGTTTCCCTGTCAGAGTACGGCTCTTCGTGGCCCAAGAGGAAGCTCCACCGAAGGCCTCAGTAGCGGTGCCCGCGTACGGTTCCTCCACAGTACAGCATTTTGTGGTCGCACAGGGAGCTCTTCCGAATGCCTCAGCGGTGGCCCCCTGCCCAGGAAAGCGTCTCGTGGCCCCATAGGGAGCTCCACCGACGTCCTCAGCGGCGGGGTCGGCGTGCGGTTCACCCAGTGCAGCGCTCCGTGGCCCCATAGTGAGCTCCAACGAGGGCCTCAGTGGCGGTGCCCGCATTCGGTTCCCCCACCCAGTGCAGCGTTTCGTGGTCTCATAGGGTGCTGCACCGAAGGCATCAGCGGCGGCGTCCACGTGTGGGTTCCCCCGCACAGTTCAGCGTTGCGTGCGTTGCGTGACCCCATAGGGAGCTCCACCGAAGGCATCGGTGGCGGTGTCCGCGTGCGGTTCCCCCGACCAATGCAGCGTTTCGTGGTCTCATAGGGCGCTCCACCGAAGGCATCAGTGGCGGTGTCCGCATGCGGCTTCCCCGCCAAGTACAGCGTTTCGTGGTCTCAGAGGGAGCTCCACCGAAGGCCTCAGTTGTGGTGTCCACGTGTGGGTTTCCCCATCCAGTGCAGCTTTTCGTGGCCCCATAGTGTGCTCCACCGGAGGCCTCAGAGGCGGTGTTCGCATGCGGATCCCCCACCCAGTACAGCTTTTCGTGGCCCCACAGGGAGCTCCACCGAGGCCTCAGTGGCGGTGCCCGCATGCGTTTCCCCCACTCAGTACAGCGTTGCGGGGCCCCACAGGGAGCTCCACTTAAGGCATCATTGGCGGTGTCCGCATGCGGCTACCCCGCCCAGTACACCGTTTTGTGCCCCCATAGGGAGTTCCACCATGCAGCATGCAGTTCCCCCACCCAGTGCAGCGTTTCGTGGCCGCACAGGGAGCTCCACCAAAGGCGTCAGTGACGGCCCCCCACCCAGTACAGCGTCTCGTGGCCCCGTAGGGAGCTCCACCGAAGGCCTCAGCGGCGGTGTTCGCATGCGGTTCCCCTGCCCAAGTACAGCGCTTTGTGGCCCCATAGGGAGCTCCCTCCACCGTAGGCCTCAACGGAGGTGTTCGCATGCAGTCCTTCCACCCAGTGCAGCGTTTCTTGGCCACATCTGGAACTCCACCGACGGCCTCAGTGGCGGTGTCCGCATGCGGTCCCCCCAACCAGTATAGCGTTTCGTGGCCCCATGAGGTGCTCCACCGAAGGCCTCAGTGGTGGTGACCGCATGTGCTTTCCCGTGGCCCCACAGAGAGCTCCACCGAAGGCCTCAGTGGTGGCTTCCGCATGCGATTTCCCCGCCCAGTACGGCGCTTCTTGGCCCCACAGGTAGCTCCACCGAAGGCATCAGTGGAACGCTTCGTGGCCCCATGGGGAGCTCCACCGTAGGCCTCAGTGGAGGTGTCCGCATGCAGTCCCTCCACCGAGTGCAGCGTTTCTTGGCCCCATCTGGAACTCCACCGACGGCCTCAGTGGCGGTGTCCGCATGCGGTCCCCCCACCAAGTACAGCGCTTCGTGGCCTACATGGTCGTGTCCGCATGCGTCTCCCGAGAGAAAAATTAGAATGAAATATCCTGTCACTTAAGGGATAATATCATACATGTTGAGTCATTGTGCCGTCCATGCAGGTGGTCGCTTAGTCCTTGGACTAGGCGTTGCATCGGTCAGCATGTCTTCTTTACCTTTCTTGAGGATACTGAGGCCCATCGGGAGCTCTACCGAAGGCCTCAGCGGCGGTGTCCGCATGCGGTTCCCTCACAAAAGGATAGCGTTTCGTAGCCCCCAGAGGGAGCTCCACCGAAGAACTCAGTGGAGGTGTCCGCATGGGCGCGAGAACGACGACGGTGACAGCGACGATTTCGGTGAAGTCCTCATCCGGGCATCTTCCAGGAGAGGTGAAGGAAGCAAAGAGGAAGGGCGAACGAGACTCAGTGTGAGTGAATCTGGGTGTGGTTTAGTGTAAGTGTGTGTGTGTGCTTATATTTTATGTTACGCGCATTTGGTTCCAGAACTCGCTGCGCGCGTAGCGTGGCCGACCCAGGTACGGCCACACAGGTGTGGCCGTACCCCCGCGGTGCGGCCACACATGTGTGGCCGTACCGCGGTGCTTGGCCGCGCGCGTCGGCCTAGGCAGCGTGGGTGGCCAAGGCGCCGTTGCGGGAGGAGGGCGAGGATGAGATGGGGGAGTAGGAGTAGTAGCTGTAGTAGGGGCAGGAGCAGGAGGAGGGACATGAGGAGGAGGGGGGGAAGGAGGAGGAGAGGAAACTGGCAACAGACAGCGCGGAACATCGACATGTGGAGAGGAAGCGATGAGGAGGCGCCGTAGGACGGCGAGGAGCAGCACTCGCAGCTTGTGGGGCACGAACGTGTCCTTGTTCCCCGAGAGCAGGGGCAGAAGCAGGAGGAGGAGGAGGAGGCGGAGGAGGAGGAGGAGGAAGGGGGGGCGGCCCAGGAGGAGGGGGAGCAGGACAAGCCGGATAAGGAGGAGGTGGGCCAGGAGGAAAGGGAGGAGGAGGAGGGGGAGGAGGAGGAGAAAGAGGAAGGGGAGGAGGAGGCAGACGAGGGACGCCGACATTTTGCGGGGGTGGGGCACGGCCGTTGCCCATGCAACGACATTGCGCATACAGATTGCGGCCGTGTCGGTTCCGAGCTCGCGCGGCGGGGCGGCGGGGCCGTGCGGTGGTTCCTTGCCTTTTTTGGGCGGCGGGAGGCCCGCGTCTCGCGCCGTTGTGGCGGCTGCCGTCGCGTCGGCAATGCCCTCGCATCGGGAGTTCTTCCCCTCGGACACGCTCGAAGCGGAAAACGTGCACGTGTGGAAGGCGGTCAGGAAGGCGTCCACGTCAGACCGTATATTGAGCAACAGAACGGCCAACTGGGTTTCGGCTCACGGGGACGATTCTGTCCGCAGTGTGTGGGTACGGTGGCTCAATGCTGCAAGCTTGGCGTCAGCTCGGCTCGCCTTCAGCCGCCTGCTCGAGGAGTACTTGCGGGGCACTCCGCATTGGAACCGCTGGCAGGTGGTCGGCCACCCGGCCGACTACAGCCCTGCAGGCGCGATGCCCGTCGTTTCGGCGGCGCTCGGCGTTGCGCCCAGCGCTTCAGACGGCGCTCCTGGTGGGGAGATGGCGTTGGCCGTTTCGGCGGCCAGAGTTGCTGCGCGGCGGGTGTGCGGTTTGGTCTTGAGTGGCGGGTTCGCGGCTTTGTCGCGGCGCGCCGCCTACCCCTTGGGCGAGTTGTTGGGGGAAGGCTTTCGGCGACGACTTAAAACGCGCGCTCCCACGTCTAGTTTCATCGATGTTGGGGCGAAAGAGGGGCGACTGCTCTTTCAAGACCGACGGCCGTCGAGGGGGCGGCGGGCGGTCAACGAACGGTCGTTCGCGACGGGGCTTCAAAGGGCGCGCGAGGGGGGCGGCGAGAATGTCGCGAACCGACCGCTCGCTGACCGCGGGGGCTCCGTTGGGGCCCAGGCGCGGGCCTGGGCCCAGGTCTCGAGGGGGGGCGCGCGGTCAGGGGTTGCGGGGGCGTGCGTGGGCACGCAAATGCTGGATGGCAGGGGCGCGCGAGGGTCGGTCCACGGGAGAGGTTCGCCGGCCGCGGAAGGGGGGCCCAGAGCGCGGCGGGCCGCCGAACGCGGGATAAGCGTTCGCGCCGCAGGAGGTTTTCAGGCGGTTTGCTTGTCTGCGGATTCTTTGTGTTTTGTGAATTAAGCACATCCCTTCTCGGCGCCCCCCGCGTCGCGGTCCGAGCGCAAAAGACGTGGATTGCGAGAGGGCCCCGTCGACGCATTGTTTTCATTGGTTTCTGCGGCGCCCCGCAGGAACAGGCGGCGAGGTTTTCGCGGTCGCTGAGGCGTCGGGGGAGATGGCGGCAGCAGCGGCGGGGGGCGCTGCTTCGGCGAGGGGGCTTCAGGCCGTTTCGGCGGCCAGCGAGGTGCTGGCCGCTTCGGCGGCCCAGG